AATCTAGAAGGCCCAAACTAGGAATAAAAATCACCGTCATTTTCATATTTCGTGCCTTTTTTTTGTTCTGCCTTGAATGATTTATATGCAAATTTTCATCTTGAGAGGAAAGTTAATGCACGCCTTTGCTGAGCAAGTTTCAACATTTTCTCTCCAGATAGAGAAATGTGCATACTATATATATATACAGTAAATCTTTAAGAACTAAGAAGCATAATGAGAGGTTTGACGTGTCTCTAATTATAACCTTGACTTTGACTATAACTATGACTTTAACTATAACTACAACTCTTGACTATAAACTAACCTGATTACGACTAGGTTTCTGAAAAGTTTTACTTTAGCCTGCCGTTGTCAGGGTAGGGATAGGCTGTCTTGCTTTTCGGCATTGTGGAAGTTGCTAGGGCTCCTGTGGGCTTATAGTGATGCGAGTGTCACATCACACAGTACTAGTTCTGCAAGGCACTGCGGAGCTTTCAGGGTACCAAAAAGTGAAAGCTTGATAGCTGAGCAGATCAGAGGAGCATGTCAGACTTTCCTCAGTTTTCTTGTTGCTGTGATACGAGACGTAAAAAAACAATTGCCGTTAATTCCTAATTCCTAAAATGGAAAATCCAGAAAAAGGTTTACAATATACGTTTGAGCGCCAAAATGTGGAAACTAATTAGAAAACTGTGAATTAAGTAACGGGGCGTAAAATTAAATTAACCAATTAATGGCCTTTCTGTAGATAATCCCTGTCCTTTTGTTTATAGCAATATAGATGAATGCATTACAACATTTTCTGTTTTCTGTAGTTTTATCTGCACAGGATTACAGTTGTTTTGTGTAGTACACAAATCTTTTAATAACTCTGTAACTCTTTTTCCCAGACTCATGTGGTTAGCGCTTTGATCATTGTAAGTGAGAAATGCCTGTTTAGGCACAGAGACCATTTACAGTGCCTTGCAAAATATTCATACTCTTCCAATGATTTCCCGTTTTGTTAAATTACATGTGATATAAACACATTTTTAAATTAACTGTGAATATTTTTACTCAAAACTTAAATGCTTGAGCTGAACAATTCCATCGGTAAAAGAAGTTAAGTCTCAGCGAACACTGGAAAGAAAAATGGAAAAAACTTGGATTGTATAAGTGTTCACCCCACTGAGTAAGGACTACATAGTCAATAAACACAATTACCACAGTCCTTTAGGAAAAGTGTCTACCAGCTTTGCACACCAGGATAGTGCACAATCTTCCCTGCCACCTTGCTCAAGCTCTGTTAAGTGGGTATGGGATTGATGATGGATAGCTATTTTCAAGGTTTGCCACGGAATTTCAACCATATTCAAATCAACACAAGGATCCATGCCTTCACTATGATTATGATATAGAGTGAATATATCATAGCACCAAGCCTAGTTAAAGTTTTCTGGTATTTGTTTTCATTGTATTGTGATCTGGTCATCTATGGCATGAAAACAATAGTCTTTTTTAAGCGTACATTACCTAAAATGACCTAAAATCCTAAACCCCTCAAAGCCCTGACATTTCCTTTGTTTCTCATCCCTAGATGTCCCCGTCATATACAGTATGAGCTAAACTAGTGCATAGCTTCAGCATAGTAGAATCAGCCAGGTGCGTACTCTCTGTAATCCAAAATGATTTATTTATTGCCTCTACTCTGAAACAATAGCTTCAGCATAACTTGTCTTGATTTATATTCTATGCTCTTTGCTGTGTAGCCAAGCTTTATGTTAGCTTTTATTTTTGCTTCTGTGCATCGCAGAGAAATATAAGTTTGCATTACTGAGATAAATGAATCTTCTACAGATCCTAAGTCCTTTTCCCACTGTGAATCCTGTCTAAATCTTCCTATGTGGACCTAACTTTATCTTGATTATTGGATAGTCCATTAAGCCTTTTATAATAATCAAATGTGACAAATTTGTTCCTGCCAATTTAAGCAATATAATCTTTAAATAACAGAAAGAGCAGTTGTTGCAGCATCAAAGACTATGGGATTCTTCACACTTCACACATTGCCCAAACCCAGACACTTTCCTTCTTACTGTTATGGTCTGTGACCTCTATGAAGCTGATTTTCAGTCCATTGACATACAGTAGTACACCATTGATTCCCAGAACTTTAATTTTAAGAGTTAGTTACTCATGGTGAACCTTGTCAAAGACTTCCTGAATTTCTATATCCACAATATCATGAACATCATAAATTTTATACAGAATATTTCTTTTGTTGCTTCTTTGAAAAAAATCGAATTCATTAAGCAAGATCTTATGCTGCAGAGTCCATGATAACTTTCTCCACTAAGAGCACTACTGCAAAAATGATTCCTATGTCTCCTTCAGCATGTAGAAACGATTAAATATCTTGATCAGGTCATTCAGCCTTTTTTGTATGCCTTTCTGAAACTTCCCCAGTTTATAACAGATGAGAAAAATGTTTTGTTGGTGGTTTGGCTTTGAACACTGCTCTCTGGTGTTAATGGTTACTCTCCTGGCAATAATATCAAGCTCTTGGATATTGACAGCTTGCTAAACCTGTCAGGAGCCAACTTGAAAGTATGGAACACGTTAAGTACATTGCCATTTCTTCAACATGAACTTTGCTGTTCAGCTTAAAGAGCACAATTTCAATGATTTTTAAAGCATTTAAAATCATTAAAATGTATTTAATTTTCTTCTTTTGTGTTGTAAAAGTTCCCAAAACTTGGATCACAGCATTTTGATCTGCATCTTATAATTATACATAATTATACAACTACTTTGTGGGTATGATTTTGTTGTAACAAGATGTATTCAGTTTGAGTCTAATTAAAATGCCCAACACATTTCATAAATACAGTACGTTTCTGTGCTTACTCAGAATTTGTCCTTGTTTTTTATTTCAGTAAGATACATTTTTGGAAAAAAGCACTACTGACTGGGATTCAGATGCTCCAGAACTACAATGTATAAGATGGGAAACTAAAGTGGGTAAGTGAAAATAAATATACAATTCATGTTGAAATTAGAGTTTAAACACCATTATGTCAGAGCAAAAACTACTAAAGGTATAGAAGACCATTGATGTTTTTGTTCTCAAATGTTTAATGTTGCAGGATTGTTACAATTCATATATATTATATCATTAACACTTAGTGCAAAAATACCTTTTATTCAGGTGGAGAAAAGGGAGTTTTTAGGTTTGGTGAATCTGGCTGTAGTCACCTTAATAAATGCTGGTTTTGGTACTGCAGAATGAATCTCTGCACAGTGGTACTACTGTACATTTGTTCATAAGACTCACTAATGATTCTGTTTATTTTAGTGTATGTGTGGAAAATCACCAATCATTCCAGCTTCACTAAACAAGTCATACAGTGCATGGAAAATGAAGCATTTCTGTTAAGTACTGAAGGCATTTTTAACCTCCTGTAATTTTTCTATAGCCTAAGGCTTTCAGGATTAGATGATACAAAACACAGTAACGTTTTCATTGTTTCAAGTCTTTGGAAAAACAAATCAGTTAGCAAACATTTTGAACTGCAGTGTCAGGTCCGGTCTAAAAACCAGAGCAGCGTAGCACAAGCAAAAGGTTTGGTGAAGCTCAGTTTGGTTGTGATTATCAGTGGTTGCTAGAAGTGTTGTACATTCATAAAGTTGACAAATGAAGTTCTGCGCCCATGAGAGCAGCTGAGTCAGCCTTGTCTATCTGTGCAGCTCCTGTTTTCAATTTTCCTCTCTGCCAGTAGCAACAATTTTATATGGTTCAGAACATTTAATGATATTTGGTGTGTAACAGATGTTGTGCTCTTGATTTGTGGAGTTAGGAGAAGAAAGTGTTTTTCTACAGAGAAAAGTCCCAAACTTTTTAAGCTTTACACAGCCTATTTACCTTAATATGCTTTCTCATAGCTCCTGTGGAAGGAAAAATCAGTTTCTTAGGAGAGCCCTTTCAATTTAAATTGTATAACAGCATTACTTTATCCATGCAACACTCTCTCTGTGTGAAGAAGTGGCTGTATTGAGATGAAGAAGCCATTTTGAAATCTGCTGTCAAATTATATTATTTCATGGCCAAGTTGCATTTTATACTGTACAATACATTAAGCTTGCAAAGAGTGCTAAAAATATTATTTTGCTGTTTGTTTTTTCTTTTCCTACGTATCCATTACTTCATTAAAAATATTTGTATATCTAAAAATGAGCGCAAAGAAGTGCACATTTAAATCTGTATTTCCCTTTAGTGCTGTTTTCCAAGACTTCAATCCGGTTCAGCCAGATAACCTGTGCTTTTTAAGCCAGGCAGTGTGAAAAGTGACTGCTGGCTGACATTGACAAAAATATCCTCTTCTACTGTCACGGACATTTTGTTCATTTGTTGTCATCTTTGGAGGCATTGTGATGCTAGTTTAAACCTATCAAAAGAATATCATGCTTGTGTTGTGTCTATGATTGCCATAAATGGTTTTAAAGTGAGACGATCGGCCAATTTGTGCTGTCAGTATGATGTCCCACTGCTGTGGATGAAATAGTCAAGTTTACCAGTAAGTGCCGTAATGTGGTTTGTAATGCATTTTTAAACTGCTCCCGGAAATGTACCTGCTTTCTTTGAGGAGTTTAAAATGACTTTGAACGAATAGAAATGTCAACCAGCAATGAAACCAATTCAAATTCTGTTCTGAAACAGATTTGAGTAGACCCAATTTCTTTGTCGTGTGAAGACAAAATTACATGTGCTACAGTATAATTCCATTTGCTGAGATTCTGACCATAATGCTTACACACTCTAAAAGCAGTGAACACAAGCATTTTAATTACAATGGTCATTGAGTTATAAATCTCAATGTCTTGAATGAATTGTTTTCTATGTGTATTATTTCATTCAATCTGACACCCTACTGTCCTTTATGAACTCATATAGAGTTTGAGTATGTATTTTTTTAACATGGGATGTTCTCAATTATATTTTATGTCTAGAAGTGAGGTGCTCTAATTTGATTTATCAGTAAGTTGGTTTTTTGTTTCTCTTGCTAGGGCTAAGTTTTTGCTCTTGACTGTTGTAAGTGACGAGGGGGCTCAGTCTTTTAACTTTCTGTCTGGGAGGAGAGGGGGAGCTGTTCAGGTTTAGATCCCTTCACTTCCTTTGGCGTTTTCCTTCTGTTTTGGGCCAGTTTTTATTTTTCACGTCATTCAGGATGGAGGACAGGGTTCGTGGTATCCCGTGGAGGAGAACAGTCACTATCCCTAGGTGACATCCCTAGGTCCTGTGTAAAAGTAAAAGGGAAACATAATCCTAAAACATGTTTAAAATACCAGATAACGTGTCCTCTGTAAAACTGACCCAGTGGATCACACAATTTGTTTACCAGGCACATGAAGATGCTGATGAGGAGAGATAAACATAAAAGAGAAAAACAAAAACACATTTTTTATAAAACTTTACATAGAAGGTAATACAGATTCCAGGTTGTGCTTGATGTACACATTACGTGCATGTCTAAAATATGCTGTGTGATTCCAGAAAGACTTAAATTAAAAACAAATTCCCCATTACATGCATGTAAATGGAGGTGGATGTATTGCAGTCCCACTCCCAACCAAAGGGATAAACTCCCAAATATAAACGATGACACCTTTAGTCAGTTAGTTAGTGTTTATATAGTACCAAAATTAATTTGAAACTAAATTAATGTTTGTAAAAGTTTACCAGTTTAATGTAAATAAGAAGGGGGGAGTTTGTCAGTGGTGGGTGGAGAACTGCTTGAAAAATGCAGTTCCATCTTGACCACTCAACTTTCTTTGGTCCTTCAATGTTATTTATTTACAGTCTTAGAAGTAACATTATAAATATTTTAGCTGGTTGATAATTGTAGATTTGTTTCATTTATTGAATGTTACCTTTGACAGTTTTTGTTTATTTTATTAGACGATTTTAATGATGTTTAATTTACAAATTCTGTGCATTGAATTTCATTTTTAATTTTACAAATAGAGAAGCTTCATGAGACATTTCCTTGACATAAAGTATTATTTACAAAGATGACCATTGATATAGAATTCTGCAAAAAAAAATTACAGTCAATACTTGACTAAAATCTGGCTGTAAGTCCCTCCACCTTTGCATAATGAGTTACGGATGGATTTGGAACCTAAATCCATTCTAAGTCTAAACATTAACATATTAATCTGCAGTCATGCTGGAAACATGCAGATGTATCTTTTGTCTCACTTGTGAATAGATAAGACCTTTAGATAAGGTCTTAGATAAGATAAAAAAATTATTGTGCTAGAAATGGGGTAAAAACTAGGGACAGAAATGTATGACTTGGTGCCTAGGATTTGTATGTGGCTTTGTGGTAAAAAATGCAGATTGAGCAGACACATAGGATACAGAATATTGCATCTTCCCTTGGATATGACCCTGATTTTGTGTAAAGTGTATCTATCTTGTGTTAGTAGCACTGTGTTATTAATATGAATGAACTATTTCAAGATTGTTCTAATTTAGAAATTACACAACACTGAAAAATATTTTATACCCTCATTATCTAGTGATGTGCCATTTATATTGTGCTGCAGGCTTATACTTTTTAATTTTACTCATCGTATGTGAACATTTTTCTTAGTATTTCAAGCTATGGTTTTCTATACAATATTTAAGTAACATGGTTTGGTCATTGACAAATACAGTAAATATTCATGATAGGCTAGCCAGCATTAACTGATATTATCAATGGACTTTGAGCAAATGTTACAGCATCAAGGGAGCAGAAATGGAAAATTCAAAGGCTTTTCAGAAGAAAATGTGTGACCTGAAAAGAGACCACTGGCTGCTGATGTTCGACAGATGTTCCGATTCCTGAAATTAAAAGTGTGTTTGAATCATTGGCTGGTTGTGACAATTCAAGTTGGTCCACCCTTGTAAATGCTAGAGTTTTAAAAAAACAGACAATCACTTGTAGAGAAAACGCTGTAACATTTCCTTTACAATTCTTTACATTTTGTTCAGTTCCAGATCCTTCCAGCCACTTCTGATCTGGAATCAGCTAGGGACTTGCAAATGAATAAGTGACTATCACAGATGCAACACATCAAACTCCAGAAGACAGGAAATCAATCCTTATCTCACGTTACACAAGGTGCGATTCCCATGTGTCGCTGTTTCTAAAGAGAACCATTAGCCAGCAAAAAGCTTTTATCGCAGGAACAACTCTGAAGAATCCAAGCATCACGTGCATTGTCCTTCCTGTGGATCCTGTCCATGTGGACAGCTTTTTTATATCCCAGATGTAGGACTCTGGGACAAAAACCAGGTCACTGGAACATGGCAGCAATAAATGTATTTGGTGTAATTTTAATAACAGTAGTGTAGGAGACACTTACAGTACTTGTACTTTGTCAAGTTGCAACATAATCATATACTGTAAGTTATTGCCTCTCTATGACTGAGATTTGTGTC